TGCGTGAAAAAGAAAGTATGAGGTTGGAGTGTTCCGTCTATCTTGCTTTAAAGGTGTTTAAAATTAATTCACTAAGATTCGCGTGGTAAAAAAATGTTTAGCCTTGAAACGAAGCATACGAAATACGTGGCGTTGGTATTACCAATGGTGGTGTGTCTTTTCTAGTATAGGAGCAGGATTTGGTACTCTCATTTGAGGGAAGGCGGGAGGTGTTCTTCAAACGCTCTTCAGACGCCGAGCTCGTTAATTTGTAACAACTTTAATATAATATATTTTCGCAAAGTAACGCCTGATTCTATGGATTACTTTTCTTTATTAGTATATAAGGTTCAGTTAAAAGACTACATAGTTTGTTTTATAACTTTCATATCTGAAAAATGGAAATGCTAGTTCCGCTTTATCTTCTTCATCAGAAGCTTGGACAGTAAAGCGTAGAATAATGGGTAGACCGAGCATGTTATGGGGCAGCTTAAATCCGAGCCAATCGATTTTTAATGGTGTCAGTGTAGTAGAATCAGAAAGCACACTGCATAGCATAGAAGGAAATACTTCTTGCTTATAAAATTTACTAGTCGTTTAGTACAGATGTTTTTATAGCATAAGGTTGGCAAACGAGCACACAGTCTACCCGGTGTTAAGAAGATGTTGTGGCAAATATATGTATCCTCAATTAAGAATCAAAATGCAGATGCGTTGTCACCCTTTGGGACTAATATAGTGAATATTTCGTTTCCCTAAAAAGGGTCTCCGGTTCTCTACACTTACGATACGAAATTTAGCAGAATTAAGCTACTATTTTACGCTGGTATTTTGTGTGAGTGTGGTCCTTCCCCAGTCGAACCAACCCATTAGTGCTACAACTATAATATAGCTGCAGAGTTCCTCGTTGTTAAGAGGATTGTGAAGCGGTAAATTTTCATACAAAAAGTGATAACGTTTTCCCTCCGGTAAACAGTCTAATTTGAATAATTTTGGCAATGTTGTAGATATATGAAAAACTAGATCCGTACGTTTTTATTTTGAGGAAATATTGCGTACGATATACGTTATTAGCATCTAAATATCTATATTTTTGACTTAAAACTTCTTAGAGCGTTTTTTTTAAAGTTAAACTAAACTGAATTACTAACAAAGAAAAGCGTACAGACCTAAATTAAGGTGCACTGAATCTAATGAGACCAAAATTATCTCATTTCATAAAGGTTTAGGGAGGTGAAAACGTTATCGCTCGAAACAATATTTTAAAAATGAAATGCAAGCAATTACTTCCAAGTTCCAATTTTACAACTCTCTCTATTGCAAGACGGCGGCGTTACGGAGTGACCGATGTGAAATAGATAGCATTTTTGAAAATACCTACTCGCGACGCGAATCGGCACTTCATAATCCTCTTAACAACTCTCCTGTCTCTGCTAAGTTGAATTACGTAATAATTTGCCATTTAATTCCAACAGATAGAAGGATTATACTTTTTTATTTTTTCAATTCCTCTCTCGTGACTGCGTCCCTTCGTTCCGTCTTTTCGGTACTTATAACTTTCTAATAATGTAGTACTATTTATATTGCAGCCTATTAAACGACAAAGGCCACCTCCGTAGGATATTTGCCATAGTTGCCACGATTGGCAAGCGTGTTGGCAACCGCAGATCTATTTATTTTAAGTCTTTATTAAGAAGACGTTATTGCCTATTATTGCTGCCTCTGTCGTTTTTTTACAACCACGGGACTATACGGGTTAGTGGAATATTCCTACATCGCCACTACACAAAAACGTAAAATAGTATTCAACTTATGAAAATATAAAATTATATATATATATATATATATATATATATATATATATATATATATATATATATATATATATATATATATATTTACTGTACCGCGCTAGTGGACCGTAGTGGACTAAACATTTCTTCGAAATTTAACTTTTTTATCTTCATTTTTTAAAGGAAAGATAGATAATGATGAAAAATATCACGAGTGTTGTGTCTCTAGTACAGAGCGGTTGCCTTATACAACTCATAACGAGCACTCCGAGTTATGGCACGAGGTTATTTGTGTAATACAAGCGATTTGGTTTAAGTTTTTTTTAATATGTAGATGTTATTGAACGTGTGGCATACGTTTAAATATAAATACTTTTGGATATAAAGCTATCTTCCTGATTTCATATGGTACAGTCGACTCTATTTATATTAACAAGAATAAACACACATGAAAATTTATTTTCCATTACCGTGTACTATTTGTTGATTTCCTCGTGAGCACGACTGTTGATTGGTACCTTGAGATCTGGCCAAAATCAGCTATTGTGTATTTTATAGCATTGGGTGACAAACGAGCACACAATCCACCTGACGGTAAGTGGATGCTGTGGCCCATAAACATCCACATTTATCCGCAACTAAGAATCTAAATGCAAATGCGTTGTCACCCCTGAGAACTAAGATGGAATGGCTCGACTCCAGTAAAAAGGGTCTCCGGTTCTCTACACTCACCACACGAAACACAGCAGCATTAAACTGTTATTTTATGCTGGTATTTTGTGAGAGTGTGGTCCTGCCTCGGTTGAGCCGACCCATTCATGCTACAACTATAATATAGCTGCAGCGTAGCTCCACCACGTAAAAATAAATGCTCAGTAGGAGCCTAGAGACAGATGATGGTGTTTTACCCTGTGCCTTGGAAAGTACGTAAATACGTTGGTCTTGCGTCTGATCTTTCTCCCATGCGATCGAATTGCGAGTGAAAGAATAAAGAGAGCAGAGTTTGCGCATACACTCGTGCACTATAATGCTGTTCTGCGCAGATGGCTATTATCCGTTAATACTTGGCATTATACGGATTCGTTAGTGGAATAACCATTTCTAATATTGAATAAAACTATTATTTACGGATTTTATCGCGTTTAATTGTGGTCTCTCTTACATAGGTCAAACAAAAAGATCTATAAAAACCCGCGTGAAGGAACATATAGCTGACGTGAACTCAACAGGAAGTCTGCAGTCTGTGAACATGTTCAAGATCGTCCCCACCATTACATTCGATTTGATAAACCACAAATTCTCGCAAAAGAACACCGATTCCTACCAAGGATGATACGCGAGGCTATTGAAATTAAAAAACATCCAAATTTCAATAGAGAAGATGGATGGGTGCTGCCAGTTGCTTGGGATTCTATAATTAATAAAATTAAACCTGAACCCAATACCACTGCAAGACTTCATGATACTATAAGCTCGTTTTGCGTAAATCGGACCAAAAATTAATATTCAAAAACTGAAGGTAGTCGGCCTAACTGTGACATTGGGATGTCAAACATCTCAGTCCCCCCCGTGACCATGGGTGCTGTAAAGCACCCGAAACGTTAGGATAATAAAAAATAAATGAAAGTAATTAAACGCGATAAATTCCGTAAATAATAGTTTTATTCAATGTGTAGTGTTCGCGTAAATTTAAGAAATCATTATTTCTAATATTGTTAGAATAGAGGCGGAAAATGCCACCAATTGTACTCGAAGTCTGACGTTACTTCCTCATATTTCTTTCTGAATTGAGGAGTGTAAGTCTCAGTTAGACAATGGACTATTAACAGATTCATGATGATTTTAATAAAGTTAAAAATAAATGTATATTACTATTAATATAATGATCGTCTTGCCCCTAAGACGTGGCTTTTCAGGACGTTAACCCTGTGTCCGATATGTGCAATTATCACTGAAAGTTATATTTTTGCGCACTGGCTTATGAAAATATTAATGAATTAAAAGATATATAAAGTTACTCTATAAATAATACGGTCGCAAGGTAGGAATCTTTCTCATTTCGTAGTTTCCTTAGATTTGAAATGAAACTTGTGCCTCGTTGTGGGACGTAGGTATGTAAACAGTTACAAAAATTATCTTTACTATTATAAAAAAGGTACAACAACAGATTCAACCCTCTACTTAGAACAATATCTACTAAAAAGAGAACAGATTTAGCTCCTCACTTCCGTTTATAATGATCATAACGTAAGCCAAAATGGAATATTATGACTTTTAAACAAACTTTTTGTTCATAACCACAATCGATAAGTTATAAATAATCTTGCCTGTGCTAATAGACACAGGTTATCCTGATTAAATGGAAACCTTTCATAATTTAAATAAAATAAAAGTAGTATAGACGGATTCTGAACAATTCAATGGGCAGATTTTGTAAATGATCCTGTTAAATAATGCAATTTATGTGCAAAGCCGGACTATTGGCTTGTATATAGGCTAAAGTCAGTACGGCAGTAGCGGGCGGGCGGGAAGTGCGCAGTGTTGGGCCACCGTTATCTACAATGACTATCGAAAATAGATCGATTTCATTTTGTAACTAAAATCTGGTAACTCGTCTATTTTGATTTTAAATTTTAAAACATTTAAATATTTCAAATGGGGGTAGTTAAGTAATTTAACTGATACCAAAGCTTTTTTGTCTGCTTTTTTGTCATTGTGAGTACTTATTGAGAAATTGTTGAAACCGACGTAATGTCGGGTTCAACAACTTTCCCGTGGAAAGAAAAAGGGAGCTCTCCTATCAGGCAATGTTTGCAGCCCGGGGAGTGACCAATGCTTCGTGTGTTATTGCAGAGCTGTTTTACGTACGAGTGTAGTGCACAGAACATCAAAAGTTTCGCTTGTGGTGCTACAACAGCGCCGCCACAGTTTGTTTTCAGTGGTAAACGCGCAAACCTGTGTTTTTGTTAATTGAATTGGTTTTATTCACCCGAGACTTCGTCCGAAACTTTGCTTAACAACATTTCAATTTGTACTTTTTGAAATCTCATTTGAAAATAACATGAGTACGTAATAAATTATTATTATATATGTATATACAATATTTCATTAAATGAATATAATATTTTACACATTTTTATAGAAGCAAAAACATCGCATCCTATTTAATGCTCAATAAACCGGCTTCTCTATAAATTACAAATGGATCAGTGATCTTAAAATTAAATTATGTCAAAGTTCAGTCAAGTAAGGGTCAAGTGTCGATAAGATCTTTGTGCAGCGGGTCGTCTCTAGGCGCGCGGCGAAAGGCAGGCGGAGGGCGGGCGGCTCAGTGCGCGGCGCGCGGCCGACACTCGCGCTGGGCCGCGCTGCTGTTTGTAAAGCTCTCTCTTGACTCGTCTCCACAGAGCAAGATTTCAAAAGCGCGTCAAGTACTAGTCCTAATAGTCTAGGTCCTCGTGTTTACTTTACAAAATCGTTCGCATGAACTCGCGCTTTAATTCATAGTTTTACGAGAGGCAGCTGGTCGTTAAATCGTGTCCGACAAGTCCTGCTACCTAATTTCGACCAGTTCTTCGTTTACAAATCAGCAGTTTTCAGTGCACCGATATACTTACAATCGGACACGTGTTGTGCAATCGGTATTGGTGTATAACGCCAGTGTCAGTAAATATTTAAATTGTATACATGGCACCGTTCGTGTTGATTTACTTTTCCGACAGTCGAACAATCCCGGCAGTCATTGTGTAAACAAGTATCGCAGACGAGCCGTTGCCGACTGTCCAGACCTTCAACGTTTTCAGTATCTATTTACTTTTAAAAGTCTTAAACAATTTTTTATCTCACTAAATGAGCTTTGTAATCAGATATATAATAAGGCAAAACCCATTAAACAGTTTTTGTTTATCTTTTCGCTATAATTCCTACGCTGGTGCACATTTACTTTACATTGATCCATAAACATAACGAGCTCACATAAAACTGTTTTAGCTATATTTTATTTCTAAGAGCGTGACGAGGACGCTAGAAACAACCATTTTCACGCTTATCTACAGGTGAGTACCAGATTAATCCCAAAGATTCAATTTAGATAAGTCGCATACATGCTGAAGGCGCTGATAAATATTCATCACTGAGTATCGGAGTATAAATGGGAGTTCACAGGTTAAGGAAATGTAGCTTTTTTTCATGTTAGAGCCACGCTTCAGCTATATTATAGTTGCAGCGCAAGGTGGTTAGCTCGACCGGGATTGGACCACGCTTTCACAGAATAGCAGCTTAATGCTGCTATATTTCGTAAGGTAAACGTAAAAAAGCGGTGCTCTTTTTTACTGAAAACGAAGCATTCCATCTTAATTCTCAGGGGTGACAGCGATTTTACATTTTGGTTTTATTTTTGACTTTGGATATAATGTAGATGTCTATGGGCCACGGCATCCACTTACTATCAGGTGGTGATAAATAAATCAATTTAAAGTGATGCACTTGCAGGAGGCGCGAGGCGAGAGGGCAGCCGAGAGGTCGTGCGAGAAGTCGTGCGAGAGGTCGTGCGAGCGGTCGTGCGAGCGGGCTTGCGAGCGATCGTGCGAGCGGCCGTGCGAGCGGCCGTGCGAGCGGGCTTGCGAGGCGTCGAGTCGCGTCGCGCTGGACGCACTCCGCCGGCACTCGCGCCAGATCGCCGCGCGCCGCGCGCGTCGCGTGCAGGTATGACCACCCTCACCGTCCACCATCCACACCTGACCATCATTGAAGCCTATCCGTTGTTCATCCATATTAGCCTATAAACGTTCACTTCTGAACACAAACCTGTCCAATAGATTGCTTCATATGAGGATATTGCATCAGTTGCCACGCTTGGTTGATGGGGCAACGGCATTTTTATTATTATTATTTAGCATCTATCAAGAACATGCTGCTGTCCCTCTACGTTAGTATCTCTCTGTGGCATCTTAAGACAACTATGGGACGATAGTAGGCAGTGGATATTCTTAAACCCCACTACGTAGAACTTAAACTTGTTTTAAGTATCGCTTAGAGCGTTTTAGACTCGCTCAAATCCTTCTACAAAGCACAGTCTACCACATAGCAACACAGTTCCTAAGGTACGTGAGGGTAATATGGTATAAAACCAAAACTAGGAGGGGAAGTGAGACAAAAACACAAAGTCGTATACTATAACTAATATTTTAACAAACAATTCCAAACAAGCTTTGGCATTAATTAGGAGCACTTCGAAAAATAAATTTAAAAAATCTAACGACACTACACAACACCAAAATCGACTAAAACGGTTATTATAAAGTCAACTATCAAAATGGCGTGGATGAAGCATCGCCCTTTTGAACCTTTATTATTTGATTGACTGATGAAGAGCTGTCGCATTAAAGATTCATGCAAACAAGTCTGTAGTTTTTCAGTTATAAGAAAGTGACCATATTAACCGGATGACCATATTACCCTCACGTAGCAGTGCGTGCACTGCTATGTCCCAATATTAAAGGTATAGAGAGCCCGTATGATCACAGGCTGCGAGGCATCTTATCTTAGATCTCAGAGGTGACAACGCATCTGTAGTCTTCGTTTACTTAATGTACTCGTAAGGTGGAATACAAGCTCGTTTGACACGTCAGTCTTTTAAAAAAAGCACAGTTAACACTTTATCATTACAGCCTTTCTCAAGTCTCTTATTAGTTAATTCACAATTAACGGACATATCTATCGTTCGAATCTACATCTCATTACACCATGTTTTATAAAACTGTTAAATAATTTCTATCCGGTTTGGTCATCTAGAAAGAATGAATGAGGAAAGAGTAGAGTCGGAAAGGGTCATCCTAGGCGAAAGTTTATCAACCAAATGAATTGAAAATGGGCCAAATTAACGAGCATGTATGGGTAGGTATATGGATGTGGAGGAGACGTGAGAGGTGTGTCAGAATCGTGCCAAATAGAAGTCGGTAATCTCTGCCTACCCTTACGAGTGACAGGCGTGAGTGTTTATGTTTATATTAACTTCTATCTCAACTGGCATATTGGCATACGAATGGGTCGGCTTCACTGGGGAAGAACCACGCTCTCACAGAATATCAGCCTAAAGTAGTGCTTAGAGCTGCTGTTTCGTATGGTGAGTGTAGAAAACCGGAGACCCTTTTTACTGGAAACAAGGCATTCCATCTAAGTCCTCACGGGTGACAACGCAACTGAATTTTGATTCGTAATCGAGGATAGATGTAGACGTCTATGGGCCACAGCAACCACTTACCATTAGGTGGACTGTGTGCTCGTTTGTCACCCTAATTCTATAGAAAAAAGTATAAATTCATAAATATTCTGCGAGAGCGTGGACCTTCTACGGTCGAGCCGACCTATTCGTGCTACAACCATAATATGCTGCAGCGTGGCTCTACCCACATATAAACTTGCGATTATCTCCTGGTGAAACTCCGGCTTCATTTATGTTATTTGGATAAACACTTGTAGTAGTTCCACAATAAGTTTTTTTAAATAAAAAATTACTAAAAATGCTTTAAACACTACTACATTTCCCTTTAACCACTTCTGGATACTTGTGTTATGATTTCACGACAACAATATAGTCAAATGGCGGATTCGAACGACCACGACCTTTTGAGTTCGTGATTTAAACCCTGCGGCACACTGTCTCTTCAAATTATTAATATAATTATTGTAAAAACGAAATATTTTAAAATATTGTGAAGCTAGAACAAGTGTTTATCCAAATCACAAAAGCGATCACATTTTACCTCACTGCACTTCGCGCACTGTGACCATCACTGCGCGCCAGCCGCCCCGCCCCGCCGACCGGAAACGGGCGTCCAGCCGCCCGCCCACCGACCGACCGTCTGTTTCAGTTCTCGGAGCGCCGCGACGGACGCGGCGATGGCGGCGACGGCGCCGGTGAGTGTCGAGTGGCTCGCGCGCTGACCGTTCCGCGGCCCACCTTTCACCCACCCACCGTCACCCAGTTTTGTGTGCGCAGACAGCGGCTCCGACATGTCCGGCGGCGAGCGGCGCCCCTCCACCTGCCGCGTGGAGCTGGGCGCACTGCTGGCGCCCGAGCCGCGGCCGCCCGACAGCAAGGTCAAGGTAAACAGGAACGCGCCCGCCCAGGTCTGCCAGGTGTCTGTCTATTTAGCTATCTATCTATTACAGCCTAAAAAAGTCCACTGCTTTTCAATGACTCTACCACGTATTTGAATATGGAATGCCTCGTTTCTAGTTAAAAGGGTATCCGGTTCTTTACACTCACGAAACACAGCAGCACTGAGCTGCTATTTCTAGCTGGTATTCTGTGAGAGCGAGGTCCTTCCCCGGTGGAGCCGTTCCGTTCGTGCTTCAACTATGATATAGCTGCAACATGGCTCTACCACGTTTAAATTTTCGATTTTGATTGTACTGCTACCATTCCTCTTTTTGACGTGAATACACCGTTTGCTTCCATAGTGAAGAGAGGCAATTCAGAAAACTGATGATAACAATTGGGGGATACAGCGTGTGGCAACTACATATCTGTCATCTACATTCAATATTGATTACACCACTCCATATCTAAAGAACCAAAGAATTCGTTACGTTGAGTAAGGGCTATGACGCATAGTGTGCAATGGTGGGGGGACGCCGTTTTAAGATCATTTTGTTACGTACCCGTATTCACATAAAACGCACAGCCGAATCTACGACATACCCACACCCCGATTTTTCTACGAATGTACGATTACAAGACCAATATCCTACGGCAAATGTACGGCTATTTATGACAATTAAAACCCGGAGAAAAGTCAAGGTTGGCAATATATATGATTATCTTGTGAATCTTTAGTTATTTCTTTTACAAATTTTATTGCTCCAATGTGTATTCAGCTTTCTTATAGATTAAGTGGTAGAAAAAGTCTTAAGGCGTGAAGTCCGCCTTTGTAAATTATTCTGCAACGAAGTTTAAATAAATAAAATAAATAATCATTTCCGTAAAGTTATTATTTAAATATATTTTACTTTTAAACATTCTCATAATAAATAATACATAAAGGCACGATTTTTGTATTTTAATGTTGTCATAGAAACTTTTTACATCTGGCAACACTGCACACCCTCGAACCCATTCAGCTTTGGCTCGATCGACAGGCGGCATGCGCATGCGTCGAACGCCTTTTATGCATGTACTATAATTACGTATCAAATAGCGGGCATTCCAGCGCTCGCGTTCTCATAACAAACGTCACTGTCCAGGTCGATTGGGTTTATTATGAAAATCTACCGTCGGTAACGAGTTTTGTAGGGCCGCGCCGCATTTGCATAATGGCGCGTCTCCCCACCTGACCTACTTCACTTTTATCGTTGTTCATCTCCAAGCGTAACTAGACAAATTCTTTTAATAATATTTTATTTATGCAGACTTAGTCCATAGATGTTTAGTATAAAATTATTCATATATATATATATATATATATATATATATATATATTTTAACGTGTTGGCTTGACCAGTACCTCATAATGGCAGAATTCCACCTATCAGCAAAATGTGTTCAGGATGCTGTTGGTACGGAGTCCACTAAGTAACGAAATACAAGCTGCATGTGTAAAATCTTATGAAAATCCTTAAGCTAATGATACAATATATAACACATATAATGTACGGGCCTCAGTTTGCATCTCATTGATAGTTGAATTAGTTTATAGCTGTGTAGTTTAAGGATAGCTCAAGACGACCGTATGAGAAGCATATAAAGTAAGCACACGTGTTGTTACTTTAATAGTTTACACACGCTGAGTTTAATTTGAAAATAGGTACAGTATAAGTAATACGCAGGGTGGCGCATTATGAACGAAACGGCGTGTTTCATCACAAAAATATTTCAGACAAAAGTCGTGCTACTGAAACCGTTTTGATTGTTTTATATTCTGAGAAGATAGAGCTATCTGATATAATATTAAAAAAGGTATATAAAATAGGTATAGGTATATAAAATTACACCCAAACTTTGCACTTCGATAATTTCATATTAATTAGATAACTCACTATGGAAGTTCAACTTAGGATATTTTCTGAGTTCTTTAATGAAATATGTAAGTGTTATAGTATACATTTTTGGATTTCCCAAGATCTCTAGTTTACATGTTATTTGTTTTATAAGAAATATTTTTTAAATATCATAAGGAATATTTTCGCCTTTTTGATGTTCAAATTTAGGTTTCCTTGTTGCCAATATCTGGCGATGCCGAGTTAGTGAAATTTTTAGATTCGTTAACTATTCAATAATACAAGGAAATTTAAAAAAAAAAACCTCCGTCGTTACCGCGCCATTTCGAGCTGGAAGCAAAAATATCGACCGAGGGAAATAATAACTGATCATTCTCGTCATTTGCACTTATTTATGACATTTGTGGAATACAACAAAATACTTGTTACTTTTTATGTAACAAGTAAGCACAATTGAATAAAACTATTATTTACGGATTTTATCGCGTTTAATTAAAATTGTATTATATATATTTAATTAAAGTTGTTGCTAAAATCCATAAATAATTGTTTTATTCAATGTGTAGTGTTCGCGTAAATTTCAGAAATCATTAAGTAACTCAGATGAAGTAACTTCATCTGAGTTAAGTAAGTTCAAAATATTATAGGTATTTAATATTTGAAAGTATATTTTCACATGAGTTTTTTTCGGTGATAATTTTAACGACACA